AAAACAAAACAAAACAAAACAAAACAAACAAATCGACGTCAGTTTTTCACGCGTGATGAATTTCGTCATGACATAGTGAACGTAGTCTGCGGATTCAAACCCACAGCTACTTTAACAATGTGACAACGAAATTTCTGATCAATAACAGGACGGACGGATGAAAAACTGACGTCAATTCGTTAAATTGAACAATGAGTCATGAAAGGCTTCAATGCTACAATTCTGTACTTGTAAAAGATTTAAAACCCACTATGTCGAACTAGTAGGTACGTACTTGATCGAAAAATTGTAGAGTGTAGTTGTTCACTTGAAAGTAGTAATAAAGGTAATTTACAATTATCGTGAATATTGATTTCGGTTTTGAAAAATTTTTAGTTTTTACAAATTATACGCTGTGAAACTTGAACAGTTTAATTGATCAGATATTTTAGACCTTGATTGATTATCATACGGAAGTGCCATGGGAGCTGCAATATCATGTTACGACAACCAGTGAAAGTAAGGTTCTCTAAAGTTGCTCTACGTCGAAAGAAGTTTTGAATATTATAGAGCATTTTCCTTTTTTCTCTCGAGTCACTCCACGAAGGCTATTCGCGCTTCCCACACTCCGAGCATCTTCCTGATCGACAATCTGAAGTCACAACTTATGGACTTAAGACTGTTTAAAACAAAACATGCCTACAGCTATCAACAACTTTAAAGTAGAAATAGATGACAGTTCAAGCGATCTGTCAGTCAATTTTCTCCTGCGCATCCTGTTAATGATAACATCGTATGGGGTCATGAGCCCTGGCATTAGATTTTAAAATTTCTCTTCCACACTTCTCCCTTCCCACCTCCACTGTTAATGTGATCACATTACACCTCTGTCCACAGTTTTCCCATGAATTTGCATGCATGATCAGCGTGTTTACAGCAACGAATGTAAGGTTCCTCGTCACGTTTTACCGAGATGTAATCGTCCGTGGATGGATTCTGCATGACCTGTGATCAGGCGTTCTTATTTTATGAAATAAAGAACGCTTGATGCAACTATTGGATGACTAACCTGTCAAGAGTCCAGACAAGACTTTCAAGTCCTAGCATCAAATCCACTTTTTAAAAGGGGTTTGCGCGAATAAAATTGCGTTACTATCGAGATAATCTTCTGGTCAATTCTAATATTCACCCTTACAAGTTCTGACATCGATGACTCGTCTAAAGATTGTATATAGGTAGTCACTTCTGTGACACAACGCTTCGCTCTCGCGGGAGAGTTGGGTGACAGAGAGAGGAACAGAACTGGACTAATTATTAAACGTGCGTACTAATGTATGTAATAAGAACGCCTGATCGTTAAGAATGCCTGATAGTAGATTAGTGTGTTAGAAGAATCCTGGTGCACGCTTTCATGACAAATTCTTTTGCCATTTTCCTTCCACCCCTTCTTCAACCCCGCAGCTCTTCTCCTTCCCCTACTAGAAAAATTCTCGATCTGCACGACATTCTTCTCAATCACCTTATCTCCGTTCCCCCAGGAAATCACACGATCGCAAGTAAAGGGCATCAAAGTTTGTAAAGCGGTTTACTTTGAGGTACGTACCGGGAGTACGTGCAGAAATACCTCGAGATCGTCTAAACTGATCTAAGGTCAAAATTATCATCGTGTGTGCTTTGGTCGTCCTCTTTTCCTTTTTTTTTTTTTCGGAGTCTTAAGATTTTCGGCAGAGGCGTCTGCGACACACACAAACATACAGTACTTCATTTGTGGTTATAAAAGAAACTGTTACATGCCGCTCTCAGCACTCTACGCGCTATCGTTCTGAAATTTCATTGCGTATGATCTTACTGTCTACGGTGGAAATATAAAGTGTGAGTGAATTATCTTTGCATAACGACTGATAGTTTGATCAGACGCGGCTTGCCTGGCGAGGGAACCTAAGAAGCTCTAGGAGTGAGACCGTAAGATGACGCAAATTGACATGACTGAGCAGAACAAAACAAAAGCGTCTCTATACAGTCAATGTTATTAGAACAAATGCAAACCCTGCGAGATCCAATTCGGCAAGGATATCAAAACTTACCCAACACTGGATCAGTAGATATCTCTTCGCTCGTCCATTTCAAAGCAGCACAATACAGAGGGTTATCTGCTTTGCGCTTTGGCGTACGTGATGTTAATTTTAGATCCATTCGATCCTAAATTTGAAAGGTGATACTGACAAGGTAAACTTTTGAACCCTGTTATTTCGTAATAGTTCTCATTACGAGCTCATCACAAGTCATTTTGCGAAATTTAGATAACAGTTACTGCGATAAGAAGAACACAAAGACGTCGCCGTGAACCTATCACGGGAACAGCAGAAATAATCAGAAACTGAATATTAACAGAAATAGTAGGGGCGGATCCAGGATTTTTCTTAGGACGGGGTGCGCCACTAAGGAATGGCGTTACTGACTGGTGAGGTAAGCAAATTTTAAAAGCAAACACAAAGAAGGTTTCATCTCGGGGGGGTGCGCACCCCCTACACCCTCCCCCTAGATCTGCCCCAGAATAATAAAGTGATACAATCCCGGGGAGAATCCCATACGAAAAGCTCGGGGGCGGTCGTCGTCTCGCTTAGTGGTATAAATCACGGATTCTGGTCTCACTTACGGTGTTCGTGACGAAACACCACTATTTTTACGGACCTTTTAGCTGCCAAAGTAGGGTGCACTCGAAGAGAAAACAACTAAAAAACTCTCTTATTTCCGATTTTAGGCTCGATTTCCGCCGGTCTCTCAAGACTAGCCCGGGCTCCTTCCCAGAACAGCGGCTGGTAATCAAGCCCATTCCTAAGTGGTATATTTTAGGGGTCAAATAAAGCTCGACCCATGCCCGGATTGGTCTCCTTTAGGGGTTCAATTCAAATTTTCCGAAGAGCATCCCCGACCTTTTCCTATGGGAGTTCCTCCGGGATACAATACCACTCATCGTTCATGCAAATGACAGGTATAGCCGGGAATCGGGAGCTCGGAGCGCGACTCCTCTAGAGCTTGGAAGAGGTTTGGCCGACACGAAAAGTTTGTGATGAAGACTTTAAATGGGCGGCCGTTGCTACCGAGCGAAGCAAATATACAATGTAAACGGTTCAGAATAAGTAGAAATGGCCTACTTATCCATTATAAGTCGGCACTGGCTCAGTGCCACAGGGTGTATTTGTATTTCTGTATTTTTTATTTCTCCACTTGACTATAGTTGACTTGACGACGACATGAATATTGTTAACAAAACAGGTGCAGTGAAAAAGAATAGGAAAGGGCAATATAAGTAAACTTATTATATGCCCTTTAATTAATACATTTATTTTAGGATAAAAGAAAACTAGTATACGAGAGGAAAAAGTAAACACACAGTTAATACATATATAATGTTGAAATTATTAATACTGAGCAAAATAAAACTGATGAAGTGAGTTTTTAAATAGTTTTCCTCTGTCTATTATGTACAAACAAAGGAATGTCATTTCAATGATAGCATCCAATAAAAGTTAGGCGAACCTTTCTTATATTTTTCTTCCAAGGGATTTTGGAATCAGGTGTTGTAAAGGACGCACTTCGAGTAGCGTAATTATGTTGCTCAAAGACTAGAGACAGGATGAGATCTAACCATGCGACGTGCATCTATGAAGCGCCAGAACTAGAATTATAAAATCAGTTGATGAAAAACATCTCTTTGCAGATGATAGAAAGGTGGGGAGAAATTTGCATACTTTTCTGTGACGTAGTTTTGCGTCATGTTTCTATTTTCGGCTGGTCAGCAAAGATGTCAAGTGTCATAAACGATGGGTGTGCAAGCGAGTCGACCGTATGCCTTGAAAGTTTCGCCCTGAGCAGGACTGCAGGAAAGCCAGGTTCTTTGGTGATTCAGGTAACCAGCCCGTTGCTGTTTATGTGTTGAGGGTGACTTCTATGCAAATCAGGCTTCATTAAGTTCATTAGATTCGCCAGTCCGTTAAATTAGTAGTTCTAGAAGGGGCAATCACTTAACGCAATGAAGTTCCATGAAATATTAATTGATGTCTCGAGTTCAATTCACTGATAATTAGTTGGGTTAAATATTTTCTTAACGGGTCGTATACATAATGGTGTCTAAAGGATCAACAGTTATTCATGGTAACTCATGTGATGTCTACGTGCATTTAGGCAATGACGTCTGTGCTAAGCACTAAGTTTATAATTGCCGATAATATGATTTCCATTTCTATAGGCGTCTCACTTAATAGCCAGCTGATTCAACTGATATGAGATGTATATTTACGACTTGCTGATCTTTGTGGGTTGTTTGGTAAGTTGATTTATACTAGTAATAGTAATTGGACCGAGTGGAGTGCAATTCAGGAATTAATCGGGCGAGTAATTTCAAAATCGGACGAGCGCGAAGCGCACGGCCGATTTGAAATTACGAGCACGATTACTCCTTGAATTGGACGATACGAGGTCCCAATTACTAATTAATCGTATCTATAACACATTTCGGAACTAAAATGTCTTTTGAGAACTTCTTTCCAAGGAAAACGTTTGTAGCGCTTTTCATAAACTTTGAAAACTGTAGGATACAGTGCAGAGGAAGCCATTAAAAGCGTGCGTTGATTGACGTGCGAATCACGTGGGTGTCCAGTTACAAAAAGTTCAAATCAGATACCTGTAACTGGACACCCAGGTGATCGCGCGCCGATTATGCAACACAAGTAGAGACCCTGAGAACCAATCAGGATGAAGAATTTTGTTATAGATACAATTAAAAACAATATTTGTGTTGCATATTTCACGAATTAGTGATTTCATTGTAATCTTTTACGTAAGTCTATATAAAACTTGTGATTGTCTTCCTTTTTATCGCTTTACTGGATGATTGATACTCGGAATTCGGACCAGTGGCAGGCTTTATCGTCAAGACTATTCACTTAGTGTCTATGTACATTACATTGTATGATATTTCATGCAAGCTAAGTTTCTGTAGCTCAATTCAAGAGTACATGAATTAATGACCTTTTAAATGTGTAAACGGTTTTATTAATTGAAATGATCGTGGGGTGTTTTGAATTCTGATTATTCCGTTCCTTGTGTATATATACTGGGTTTTATGGCAGCAAATTAATGTCGTCCATGCATTACCCTGCCAAAAGGGTTTGAATGATTACAGAATTCCGTAGGCATAGAGGGGTGAACAATTTGGACTTCTGAGGGCAATGGGGGTGATTTCCGAAGGCAAGTGGGGACTGGCCACCCATGATCATTTGGGTGCATAGATATTTGCTGGAATTGCCATTTTTGCCAGTGAAAAAGGTGGGTTGGGTCCACTTAAACCTACTAGTTCTGTCACCATCACAAACTTGGGAGGCAAGTTCATACATCAGATAGCGCAATTACCTTACTGCACAGTGTGAATGATACTTGTACCTTTAAATTTAAATTCAATGAGAATGCTTTGATTTTCCTAGTTTAACCTTGAAAGTTAATGTAACGGTGACCTTAATGAACAAGGTACACTGTTGTCATAAGATGGAGTTCAACTGTATTGTACAAGTTATTTTAATGGGCATATATACATGTAATGTTGTCTTTTTGTTTGTCTACTAGGTATTATATGTACAATGCAAAACAATCTGCAAGAAAGACCAGTACACTGTTCTCAATTCAGATGGCAGTTTTAAGAGATGTTTAAATTGCCTAACCTGTCATCCTGGTCGTGGATTGGATCCGCCTTGTGGCAGCCATATTCAAGATCCACCTAACCCTGATTGTGTAGCCTGTCCTGCAGGAAAATTCTCTGACGAACTGGACTCAGCTCCTTGTCATAGCTGTCAGAAGTGTGTAGCGTATGAAATCATAACTGCACCTTGCACCAATAGATCGAACAGGATTTGCAGTGGAACTTGTGAGGCAGGATACTTCTATTCCAAGAAAGATTCTACTCATAGCTGTCAAAAATGTTCTTACTGTTGCTTTGATGGCAAAGATGAGGAGATATCAGAATGTGCAAACCAAGGCTTGAAGGCTTCCAAGCAGTATTGTCGCCCGAGGCCAGACAAGGATTGTAGTCCTGGTTCATCAGTGATCTCACCTACCATTCATACAACTGGAACTGAGGCTTCAAGAAATGGCAGTTCTATTTCTGGAGGTGTGATTGGAGGCGTGATTGGCGGCGTGGGTTTTATATTTGTGGTAGTGATTACATTATGTTTATGGTGGTTACACCGAAAGAAGACAAGGGGAGTGTCAGGTGTGGAAGGGAATACATGTAAGTCCCATGTTGTATGTGTTAATGTGACTTATTGTAGGGAGAACATGAGGAAGAAAGAGATATGTGGAGGAGCAAAACGTACCAAACAAGAAAATTTTTATTTGCTTTTACGATGTAACTGGTTTGTACTAGCTGACATTTTGCTTCCAAATGGCAATGAGCCGAACTTAAATCTGCCAACTTTGCTCGTCCTCTTTACTTTTTTTCCTCATCAGGATTTTGGCACTTCCAAGAGACAAAAATAGAAGAGTTTGCAACTGTTTTACCACAAAATGTAATAGACCTAGATGCCAGTCTAGATGGGAAAATCTAGACCGCAGTAAATATTGATGTCAGCCAATCACATTCACAAATTCAGTAGTTCCCAGTCCTTGTGAGACACAGCCATATAATAAATGTTAAATATTGCCATCCAATTTGCCAACCAATTTGACTAACTATAGACGAATCAAAACCGACCATGAATGACTGATGACAAACTTTACATGTGTCTTACAGCCAATACCATCATGGCTAAACTGACCAATCACATTTCACAGACCATAATGATAACATCATCGACTGACAAATGCAGTGTTTCAGCCAGAAAATTTTTCTTGAGAGCCAAAGTGGCCCCTGAAGACCTTTTATAGGGGCCAATAAATTGAAAGCTACAGAAGGAAAAATGCGTCAGGGTACCAAGGAAAATAAAGCAGTTTATTTGGATCAGGGATTAAAAAATTAATTTAATAGTTAGTGCTTTTTGAAGTGTTTCTACTCAATAAATTTCTTTTGAATCAGATACTAGTATGATCCGTGTATTACAAGAGAACAGTCCTTAGGCATACATGACATAGTCAATGATCAAGGGTTTGCAATGCATTATAGTGCGATTTCAAACTTGGAAGTTTTCCAATGTGAGAGAATCAATACAGCAGAGCAAAACGATGGATTGACTTCTTTTCTTATGTTGAATGTTTTAGAAGCAACGATCTTTCAATATGATTGTCTAGAAGGACAATGTGTGACAAAATAACCAGATTGATTGTCAACACAGAGAAATGTAGTCACCATTATGGTGACTAAACCAGAATTTTTGCCGAATTTTGGTCACTAAGGATGAAATATTAGTTACATTGGTGACCGTATCGGTCACAATTTCGAGCCCTGGGATGGCTTTTAAAATACTACGCCTGGTTAAGCCTGTAGTCTTGTAAAAGGAAAGGGCCAAATTGGCCCTTTCTTCGTTTTTCTGGGGGCCATCTCTGGTTGCCACGCGGGCTTCCCGCAATGGCGCGCTCTGATGGAAACACTGYAAACRCTATTCACTTTACTCTGAAGATGACTTTCGCTCAGGTTGTCAAAATGCCAGTCACCAACAACAGTTCTCTTCAGAACCTCCCTCACAAAGACGATCACATTAAACGAACTACTGATACTCCTGGGTTCAAACCATTTACTATACTAATTTTTAGACGACAAACAAGGGTCAATACCATAGATAGTTAGTTATAGAGGGTTAAAATAATGTAAGTCATTACAGATCTACATGTAGAACGCTATTTAGTATTTAGTTTGCGGTCAGTATAAAACACAGACTGTGGACTATGGTCTGGAGTGTTTCAGCCAGAAAATCTTACTTGAGGGCCAAAGTAGCCCCTGAAGACCTTTTTTAGGGGCCAAATTTTTAGGAAAGGGGCCAATAAATTACAAGAGAACAATCCTTAGGCATACATGACATAGGCAATGATCAAGGGTTTGCAATGCATTATAGGGTGATTTAAAACTTAGAAGTTTTCTGATGTGAAAGAATCAATACAGCAAAGCAAAAGGATGGATTGACTTCTTTTCTTATGCTGAATGTTTTAGAAGCAAAGATCTTTCAATATGATTTTCTAGAAGGACATAATGTGTGAGAAAATAACTGTTATTGATCATCAACACAGAGAAATGTAGTCGCCATGACAACTAAACCAGAATTTTTGCCAAATTTTGGTTGCCAAGGATGAAATGTTAGTTGCATTGGTGACCATATCTGTCGCAATTTCGAGCACTGGGATGGCTTTTAAAATACATGTACTATGCCTGAGTCAAGCTTGCAGTCTTGTATAAGAAAAGGGCCATCTCTGATTGCAACATGGGATTCCAGCAATGGCGTGCTCTTGGGGAAACACTGGTCTGAGTATAAAACACAGACTGAGGTATAAAACGCAGACTAAGCATTATGGACAGGTATAAAACATGGACTCAGGTATAAAACACGGACTGCAGACTAAATGTGGCCTACTGACTGCGGACTGGGCATAAAACACGGACAAAGGTACAAAATGCTGATTTTCCTGCCAAGTGGCCACAGTGCATGAAGGGAATGGTATTTTCGCACCATAAATGTCACTTGGTAAAACTGCAATCGTGCTATCACCCCAAGATGGCCGGCATTGGAGGTAAGGACTGCGATTGTTGTACATATATTATATTAATTCTTCTTTTCTAGGAGCAATCAGTAATTTTCAACTCCAGGTAGTGAGAAATAAAACAAAATAAAGGCAATTATATCAAACATATGGAGTTGAAAATTGTCGATTAACTGCTTCCCCATGAAGATAACAACAGCCAGTAGGGCACTATACTCTACTATACTATCATAATTTTGCTATCTTGGGAATCGAAACCCTGCTAGAAAAGAAGAATTAATATGTGAAACAATCGCAAAGGAAAATCAGCATTTTGTACCTTTGTTTGTGTTTTATACCCAGTCTGTGGTCATTAGGCTGCGTTTAGTCTACAGTCTGCATTTTATACCTCAGGGTCCTATTTTATACTCAGTCCGTAATGCTTAGTTGGCATTTTATACCTCAGCTCGTGGTAAGGTTCCTCTTAAGCGACAAAGCAGCCAAGACTCACAAAACAGTGGTAAGAATCTGCTAGTTTTTAAGCTACATGTGAATAATAAATTAATTAAAACATTTTCATTGTTAACTTTGGGAGACCCAGCAACCTAAAAATTTATGGTTAGGGTCTTGGAATTGTACTCCAGATTGTGCACTGGTCCAGGTCTGTGCACTGCAGCAAGTGTGTTCTTGTCAACTCCCATGCCTGCATTTTCAATTGAAAATAATATTTCAATTATATGCCTACTCACATCCATGGATCAATCTCTTGTTTACCTTAGCTGAGAAACTTGACCTATTGCAGCCTTAACAGGCACATTTTCAAAAGATAATTTCATGAGAACTTAAACCAATGCAAGGAAAGTAAAGATCCTCAATTCTTAAATTTTCAGTCAAAAGAAATGTACCAGTAACATAATTGTACATCCTGAGACTGCATAGCCTGTAAACAGGCTCTCTAGTCGAGGATGGGGCAAAGAGAAGGTGGGAAAAAAGAGAGGAGGGGAGAGAGAGGAGAAAGCCTGTAGCAGAGTATTGAAGCCACCGTTCAGCCCCTTTGTAATTAACGTGTCATTAATCTGTCAGCAGCATGTCATAATCTCCATGTGGATGCATTGGAATGTAAATAGACTGTACAAGAAAAGTACAGTTCAAGGGGAAATATGCAGTTCTCCCAAGCTTTTTGTAAATGGAGTGAAATGGAGCAGGTCAAACCCCCATTGTCTGTTTTTGTATATAATTATGTAAAAAGTCTTTCACTTGTCAAACTAAAAGAGCAAGTCCATATGTGTCCCATGGTGGGACAAGGACTGATGATGCTAAAAGAGTAAACATGTTACCAGTGTTTGGCATGTCCGAAAACAAGAAGCTACTTGAGCTACTAGACAACATTGTTGTGGCTCATATGCTAGAAAACCTGGGATTTCATGCAAGAAGATTTCTACAATTGTTAGGCTTGATATGTCCAGCAAATGTACAAATGCCACAAATGGTAGGAGTCGTTGAAGCCTGTCGACTCCATTTTACACTAAACGTTTCCCAAATCCAGTGGGAAGAATTCCGAAAACATCCATTTTCTCTGGCACAGATGGCAAGCAACGTTTTTGTCCTACTTTCAGCTGTGTAAAATGAATGAAATCCCTTAGAATATCGCTCCTCTTTCAAACAGATCATCTGTTTACCGCTCACTGCCAGAAGATGCCTTGCGAGACATGCAAATTTTTACTGGATGGGGTTGGCAAAAGGGATATCATGCATTCAAACCCGTCAACAATCAGTGATTTGACCAATTTTAGGTTGCACTAGATAAACTAGTGCATAGCGAGTGCCTTAATGGAACGGCAGCATACAACCTTTGTCTACAGGCTCCGATGCCACAACCCCCACCCCAATCTCCCCTCGGCCACTTCACTCTCAGCCAGTTCCTTTATGGCCTCTCCAGCTGGAGCCTGTTCATAGGCTAAAGGAACTTCAGGGATCTGGGAATGTTCAAGACATCTTCACAAATCTTTGGAATGTGATCTTTGGATTGCTTCAGGGTCTTTAATGTGAATCCTGGCACTCCCAGGTAAAAATTGAAATCTGTGGGTCTGAAAAGTTGTCTGACAGGTGCACTGTATATTTCATGTACCTGCACTAGTACTGGGCAGGACACTTTTTCTCTGCATGCTTCATATAGGTGCTTCTCAATTCATGGTAAGGGTCATCACCTGAGCTTGGTTTCTAGACATAAGATGATACCAGTACTGATGATACAGTACTTTCTGCATGCACATGATTGTATAATTATACCAATGACAACTTATTACTATTAATAATTATAACTCATGTGGACACATTATGCTAGATGTCACACACCTGCAGTTTGAAAATGTCGTTCAGGTGCAAACAGGACAATTTCACACGCATGACTCACAATTCTGGACTACATTATTTTACTTGTTGCATAATCATTAAATAAATGTGAAAATTGGATTCAATTTCCCCCCAAAATAGTCCTGACCGGTGAACACTACTAAATGTCACGTTTTAGTCCTAAAGCTAGACTGAAGAATATGGTACCATGATTGATTTGGCACTTCAATTCACACCACTTATTAATACTTTTGGCAACCCTTAAAAATCAGTGAAACATCTTCAGGAATCTTCACCAATGTTCACTGAAGTCACTGGAAGTTTTTCAGTATTATATGTTCAGAGGTCGTTGGATTTTTTGTTACAGAAATTTAGGTAAAATGAAAATCACATCATGCAGTTGACTAGTAGGAAAAGTTGTCAGGTATATACAAAAGTCATGTATTCTGCAACTGCATTGTAGAGTTGTGTAGAAATCTCAAACCCTTGTTCAAGGACATTAATATTATATGAACATGGTGACTTCTTTATCTAACCACTAATAAAGCCAATTAATTCATCAGGTGATGGAAAGACTGGATTCAAGAAGCGCAGAACCTCATTAATATCAATAAAAGCGGAGGAGCTGGCCATGGCGATGCGTAAATTGTCTGACAGAAGCAATCCTCTTATAGAAGAGGTGTGGTAGAAATTAACTCTCAGTTTTCTCAATTACTAATTAAATTAACATATACATGCATTAAAATATTGTGTATAGCTTACAATTTAGTTGAAATGGAGTTTTCATCAATTTACATGCAGTAATAATTAACAATTAGATCCGTAGCCCACAAGGGCTATTGACCCGTGGCCCTTGAGGGCGAAGGGTCTAATTGTTTGAGTATCACCCAACTAGTCGGACAGAAAAGGCAATAATAAAGTTAGCAAATGCAAGTTGAAGAAATATTTGTTTGGGAATAAAACGAAAGAAAGTGTCACGCTCAATTGCGCCAATTTCGCTACTCGAGGACTATGACTAATAGTCCTCTACTAGCGTAGCCAATTAAAATGCAGGATTTGCATTAGTCCACTAGTTGAGTGATACTAACATTGATTAGTATCAACGAACTAGTGCAAATGCTGCATTTTAATTGGCTAGGCTACTAGCTAGTTTAGAGGACTATTAGTGATAGTCCTCGAGCAGCGAAATTGGTGCAATTGAGCGTGATGCTTTCTTTCATTTTAATCCCAAATAAATATTTCTTCAACTTGCATTTGCTAACTTTATTATTGCCTTTTCTGTCTGACTAGTTGGGTGATACTAAAACTTCGCCTCATGGGCTATTGATCCGTATAACCCTTGCGGGCTCAATCAGGGTTTAATTGTTAAATATTTAATCAGTATTCATGAGGCGTGGTTTGCACTTAATCTATTTTAGCAAGCTAGTAAATCTTTAAAACTTTACTATGAATTGTATTAGCTAAAAGATGATTTCTGCAGAACGTTCGAGCAATAAATGGCAAAAACTAAGTTACCAAAAAAATAACCTCATGGCACAGTAATATTTTGAATACGGTTAAGAAGAAGAACTCATTGAGACTTTAATTTAGCTCTCAAGCTGACCCCGTGAGGGAAAATTGAAGTTGAAGTTATCCATAAATCAATTAAAACAGAAATTTCACGTCAGTTAAAAACACTAACACACCCCTCAAGCACTCTTACGAGGTTTCACATTTAAACTTTCTTGAGAATGCTTGAGAATTCAATCGCGAGGTCACTTAACAAAATGAACTAAAGTGAGTTGTTTTGAATACATAAAGTTTTCAAAAGTTACCGCGCTTTGGGTAGATTTTTAGAAAATAATTTTTGCACTTATTGCTCAGACTTTGAGCGGAATCCGTCGTAAGCTTCTCTGTACATAAACTTAGATCGACAGAGTTGTCAAAGATTGTGTACATCAGAAAGTTATGATCTGGCGACCAAAATTTTGGAATTAGTTGCCAGCCGGCTCTGTCATGAAAAAGTTAATTTGAAGCCCTGGACTGCAGCCACAATTTCTTTGATTTTTACTGACATTTTACTCACAGGGTCCGAAATTGCAACCAGCTTGTCACCAATGCAACTGAAAATTGAGTGTTGGTGACCAGAATTTTGAGGCTAGTCGCTATTATTAGGCGACTAACTTTCAGTGTCTTGAACCGCATTTTGGTTTTGTTTTAAATCGAAGAACTTTGTGTTTGGTTTCAAGCAAGAAACTTAGCCCTAGCCTTGTCTCTTCAAAGTTTTTGGCTTCCATGTAAAATAATTTAGATCAAAAATGATGGTAAGAATACTGTTAAGTGACACCCAACAGTTATAATCCACACACTGTAATCGACATTTAGTGACACTATGTTTTCAGCGGTTTCAACTGCCAGCCATACCATGGGTGTGTGGCAGAAACACGTAAGAAGAAAATGATGTTATGTTCAGTCTCCAAACTAAGAGAGCTATCTGTTTGATGAAAACTCCATTTCAACTAAATTGTAAGCTATACACAATATTTTAATGCTTTTATACGTGGAATCTGACTCTTGCGATCGTTCAGGAGTAGGAATTTTTTCACGCGAAGAAACGTCTTGAGTTTCGCTGTGAAGGGAAAATTTTATAAACTTCTAGAGTTGATAAAACATACGTTCTCTTCTCGTTCTCGTTTCTTATCCTCTTCTTCTGCGAAAAACATTGAAAATTTGCCGGAAATGAACTTAAAATGTATGCTTCACTCGCTGAAATTTTCTTTTCGAGATACGAAGGAAAATATACTTTGGGGCGTTCTGAAGGCTTGTTTTACTTCAACAATAGAGCTCGTATCATTTACAAAGGGGTCTCAATTGTTGCCTCCTGTGGGAAATATCCTTTGCAATATCCTCTCAATTCCACCGCTTGTGCACCCAAGTTAGTAAGAAAATAATTTTCGTTTTCATTTTGTTTTTTTCGATTTTCAAAACGCCTTAGCTTAGAGATGTTGCAGACAACGAAAGAGCACACTCATAAACAACATAAAGGAAACCCATGAGATACCGATTGAGTTAAAATGTTACCGTTACCGCCTCAAACGAAGAAGGCACCAAGGAAGTAATGCTTAGAGAGTGTCAAACGTTTTCCTCGTCCAGTGAAAGCAACTTCTTCAACTTCTTCCCGATGCAGGATCCTTTATCGCTAGCCAGCTAACGCATCAGCCGAATTTTGAAACCTTTTTCTCCCCAGCATTTTCCTCTGTTGTGCTTTTGTCGCACTTGCAAAGGGACACGAACGTTGGCGCTTCTTCAACGACATTTTTATAGTTAAATCAACAATCTACAAACGGAGAACACTCAGAACAGCTCATTGACTACCAAACACAGGCGTTTGATAATCATTAATTAAAACATCTGCCGCAATCTGTGACGCGGCTTTTTAATGCAAGTTAACTTCTCGTGACAACCCACTGACATTTATCAATTAGAGGTAATTAATGGAAAGAAACGTTTTCCGTTGATAACTTTGCTTAGAATCAATGTTTTTCTTTGGAATCTTTTTTAAATGAAAGATCGCAATAAGATCTACCTGAAAAAGCGAAAAACACTTTTTTTTTTGAAAATGGTCAATTTTGGGGTATACTGATACCTTAATGATCTTGAATTTCAATGTAGCTGTGGATCTGCAGACTACTTTGACAACGATATGACAAATTCATTGTCAATAATAGGTCAGACGCATGAAAAAGGTCAATTTGTTTTTTTGCAACAACAAATAATTTGTTTGCTCTTGCTTGTCGCATCAACATCGCGTAAATGATAAATTTATGTGTCTGTCTGCTTTTAATATTGTCAGTGAAAATTTAGCCAATGAGCACACAAGAATTTCTGCAGTTATTGTAAACTCATGCATTAATTGTTGAGCTACATTGCAATTAAGGATTGCAACTTGCAAGTTTTTTGTCTGAATTATTTATGTCGAGAAGCACTTGGCAGCACCTGGCACTGTGCTTCTCTACACACTTTTCTCGTGTTCATGAAAATTCCAGCACAACATTTTAATAACAAACATGTACACAGATATATAGCAACTATTCCCTCTCTCTATTTTCTCTTTCAGGAGACAGATGAGTCACAAGGTAAGGAATTACTTTTCGTTACTTATAGATACTGAGAGGTAAAATCATGAGTTAATGCCTCATGGTTAGTGCACTCGACTCCGGATTGAGCAGTCTAGGTTCGAGCCCTGGCCAAGGACATTGTGTTGTGTTCTTGGACAAGACTCTTTACTCTCATAGTACCTCTCTCCATGCATACCAGCAAGTTTAATGCAGGGGAGTAACCCTGCAATGGTCCAGCATCCCATCCATGGGGAAGTAGGAATACTCCTAGTCGCTTCATGCAACAGAAACTAGAGATAAAGTCTGGCCTGATGGGCCACTTGGCTCATACCATTATGCAGACTTCACCTTTTCACCTTTACTGATAGTTGCTGTGTACATAGTGTGTCTCTTTCTTTACCACCAACCAAAAGTGGGCAATGAAATGGGCAAATAGGTTTGTAGGCTAGGATATTAAAGCTGTCATTTTACTTCTTTGACATTTAGATCAGTAAAATTAGAGGATGGTACATTTAAGAGGTTGGCATGAGCTAAAATTGTCAGAAATATGTAGTGGTATTCAAGGCTGTCAGTCTAAGAAAAATAACAAGGAGTGTAAAGGCTCCTAACCATGAAATCGTGGTTGCTCAGCACAGAAGCGTATATATAACAAAGTGAGTTTTTTCTGTCTCCCAAAAGCAAAAGCTAGTCGCCTGTGGCACGCAGACACCTCTAGAGCACAGGTCCTGGCTATTGCAAGCTGAGTAATCTAACTTGAATGATCCAGGTTTTTCCAAATAATTTAGGATAAATCTACTAGCGTTCTACCGCAAATGTTGTTCTCTTATTGGCTACCCCACTCACTAGCTATTCTGTTGTAGTAAGTAGCGTAACATTGTGTGCGCTTGCTGACAAAATGATGGCCACTAATTTCCATTTTTGAAGTCTCTGTGAAGAGGATTATGATAGAGTTTTGAACGACCAGGAGATCTAAACTAAAACAATTAGATTATGAGGTTGACTGCTCGATCTCTCTGTGCGTGAACGTTGAGGAAGGCTGTGCTCTGGTCCAGTATCAGGCAATAGAAATCTTAAGTTAGTGATCTTATTGTTGAATCTGTTGCAGAGGCAATGAAAATAATAGAGGAACCATCATCCCAGAAAATAAAAGAAGGCTCGAAAGTGAAGCTGGTGTTTAAGTGCAAAGCTCGAGGAAACAGCAAACTGACCTATCAGTGGTATAAAGATGGTGTAGTGTTACAGGGGAAAAAAGAGGGCACACTTGTCCTCAAATCTGTTACATTGCGTGACTTTGGCTTCTATAAGTGTGTTGCTAGTTGTGAAGATAGTTCCAGCGTTAGAGTAGAATCATTTTCTGCAGAACTGGATGTTATACCCCTTGATGGAACAAGTAAGTATGTCACTCAGTCTGGATAAAAGTTAATTATCTTCAGAACTTAGTAGTTTAAAAGGCTGATACTTTGCAGTTCCCAAAATAATCCGACATCCCTATAATGATCCCTAGTCCTGAATTGATTTCCGACTCGAACCTGAAATCACTTTAACCGAATCTTTTTTAACTAGTCATTTTTAGCGCAGAGTGCACTATAGGGATGGTTTAGCGGGCCACTAAAGCACTAAAGCACTACAGTGCTCAGCACTAAGGCGTAAAGGTGTTAACTTTAATCGTTATGTTTGTTTAATTAAAGTCAAACCAACTGAAGCGTACCCCTCAAGGTTACATTAATGAATTGATTATTTGAATATTGAACCTGCTAGATGCTTTAAGAATGCAATAATGAATTGACCATTTGAATATTGATCCCGTTAGCTGTATTCTTGGAACAACTACCTGGTTCAATATTTAAATAAACAATTCATTAATGTAATCTTGAGGTGTACGCTTCACTTCGTTTGACTGTAATTAATTTCAATTAATTAATTAGCCTTGCAGGAGGGGCAGGGCAGGGTGGGGCAGGTGTCTGTGAGGACTACGTAAAACATGATGTACTTACCTTACTTCTTTGATATCTTCACAAAGCTATATTTTTATTCCTTTTTATTTATTTGTTTATTTCGTAATGCAGGTCAGTAGGGCAACTTATACAGCCGATGTGGCCCTACCTAAGAGTTCTTAAATCTACTATTAAACAATTCTTCTAGAGCATTGACAATACCATTTACAATACAATGAAATGGCTATTTACAGTAAAAGGAAATGACCTACTAGTTGTAGATATCATAGACATTCGTAAAGCCTTTGACTCAGTCTGTCCAGAAATCTTGTCTCGTAGATTGTAGGCCTGTGGAATTAGCGGCAATCTTTTCCGGTGGCTGAATAACTGTTTATCTCATCGACACCAATTTGTTGAGCTAAATGGAATGAAATTGCCTGTTTGTGTCAGAAAACCCCTTGCTCCCCCCAATATTTGCCCTAAACGCATGCGCAGATTAATAAGCGTTAGTATCAGGTGGAAGATAATTTCATACGAGATCACCAATCTCGTTCCCAGAGTCTTCGTTCCCCTTGACCAGCGGTCGGAAAACGAGAGCCTGGGAGCAACCATTTCAGGCATGCGCCATAGATGCAGACTGCGCAGTGAAACCGATTGGGCAGAATCACCAGAATTCGGTTATTTCAAAATGGTTACTCCCAGAGCTCTCGTTTTCCGACCGCTGGTCAAGGGGAACGAAGACTCTGGGAACGAGATTGACAAGATCACACACTAACACTGAGTGGTTGTTCTTGTGGTAGATCCCTAACATGTCATACGCATGCGTTCTAGCATCATTAGCATGATACAAGAACGTTACTGTGACTTCATATCTTTTGGAATTACTCCTAGCAATTGGTTCAAGAAATATCATTTGCAGTTTCCAAACTATAGTAGTGCGTTTATTTTTCCCTTATATTTTGGACGTAAATTTGACAAGATAACAACTGTAAAATTCCCACAAGTTTGCATGAAGTAATCTTGTCTCTAATTCATTTGTCAGCATACAAATGTCTGAAAGATGTTGACCTCGATACTCAAGACCAGATTGAAGACTTTCTCACCCAGAAAAGTTTCGGTTCCGGAGGGTGGAGGCAGATCGCCTTCAAGTATGAAATGGATCAGCTCAAAATTAAGTCTCTAGAGAACGATCCAGAGCCAGGCAAAAAAACACTGGAGTACCTTCGAACAAGCAACCCGGATTTGAAGGTCTACGATTTTTGTAAGACACTTAAAGAACATAACATAAGGCGTCTTGACATTGTTAAAGAATTACTGGGACATCTTTCAGTTCCCAGTTCATCAACTGCACACTTTTAGTCCCGAAAAGCTGTTCTCAATTTGGCGGATGGCGGAAACCGCTCGATGGCGAAGTCATCTTCTTGCCTTAGTAAATTGGACAGTTTTCCTCAGAGCTATAGTGTCCTGGTAAAGCCCTCCCAAGTATTTTTATTATTATTATTATTTTTATTGTTGAAGGAATTATTCTGTAGTAATTCAGCAACTCAGTGTAAAAATTGTTTTACGCCTAGTAAGTCGTTTTGAAGCAGTGACTGTGCCATCTTGCTCGTCATGTTGACGTATCGATGTTGGCCCGTCGGGTTTGCCATGGTTAACGTTTATAGTTGTACAAATTCATATTTCACGGAAATAGCTGAGGAAATTATTTTTTACGTTTTAAACTTACTTTTATTTCTTGATTTGTATATCACGATAAAAAGTGACATAGCGGTTTTTTGCTAGAGATTTTAGGATCTTTTTACAATTTGTTATTACTTGTCGATGTCGGCGAGTAGTGTAATTCGATAGACTAACAGTGGACCAAGATTTCCATTTTAGTCTTACGTGTGATGCTGTTGAGAACCCTCTAAGGGTATATCAAGAGGTCCTACTTATTATGACCAAGATCGTTTCACCGTTGGACCCGAAACATAAAGATAAGGGTCTGTTAGAACTGTTAAGACTTGACTTATTATAGCGACAAATGTGTTATTGATGTGTTAAACACCTAAAAGACGAACCATGTCTTGCAACTTTAAAACATTTTGCCACCCAGAAACTAACGTACCTTCTGTTTGAAGAAAGCAATCATTTTAGCTCTAGGGAGGTTTGTAATTATAAACGTCTGTTAAAGTAAATACCTTAAGATTGTAGAATACTGAGACAGGTTTTAAGACTAGATAACTTAATTTCTTTTCTTTAGCAGTGCTAAACCGGCAGAAAATGCGTTTGAAGATCTTCGTTTTAGTAATATTTACTAGGAAGCCAAAATTTAGTCTTATTACCCTTACAAGCTAACATGCATATACTGTACAGTAACCAGTTGGTGTTTAGGGCTTGAAACACGAGCGAAAAAATCTAACAGGTCTTTCAACCCACGTATCACCAAAAGTTGTCAAAATCATATTCACTTAAAACTTATTGGTCAGGGTAAACAACATGGGCATTGATCCCCGATAACACTGAACTTGCCATGTAGTGAAAATCTCCGGAGTGGCAGAAGAAAATTACAGATTGATGCCTATAGAAACGAAGGAGTTTGAAAGTTGGTATGCCGAAGTCTTCGTCTCAAGGGTTGAGAGGACTGTCCACACTTAATTTTTGTTGTGCATAATATGAGCTTTTTTTATAGAATGGGGCAGGAGAAAACTCGAACGTTTTTAGCTGAACATAGTTGTGCGCGAATGTGACAAACATTCAAGAATATAGTAAATGTCCACCAAATATTTGTAGCTGGTCTACAAAAAGCCTAAGGTGACAAGGCAAAGCACTGATCATGAGGATAATTGTAGATTTTATCATAGATTTATTCACCTGTACTAAGAGTATAGTTTAAGGAATAGTGTAGAACATAGAGTTATTTTTGTGTGCAGACTGTAGCTGGTTTACAGTATTAGATATTTTACACTTTAGAAATGTTTTGAAATTTGTATTTGTCATTGTATATATGCCTATGTATTTTTACTACTGTGTGTACTGTGGCAAGGCAAAGCACTGTTCAGGAGGATAATTGTTGATTTTATCATAGATTTATTCACCTGTACTAAGAGTATAGTTTAAGGAATAGTGTAGAACATACAAAATTATTTTTGTACGCAGACTGTAGCTGGTTTACAGTATTAGATATTTTACACTTTAGAAATGTTTTAAAATTTGTATTTGTCATTGTATATATCTCTATGTATTTTTACTACAGTGTCTATTGTATTGTGTACTTGGGCAAGACACTTACATTGCCTCTCTCCACCCAGGTGTATAAATGGGTAACGGCGAACTTAATGCTGGGGGTAACCCTGCGATGGACTAGCATCCCACCCAGGGGAGAGTAGAAATACTCCTAGTCGCTTCATGCCACGGAAACCGGGATAAGCTCCGGCCTGATGGTCACTAGGCTTGTGTACAGACTTTACCCTTACCTCTCCACCTAGGGGACAGAGAGAAGTGGTCGTTGTAAAGGGGTGGCCGTTTTGGGGAGGTAGGGGTATAATATGATACTATTTTTTTTTTTCTTTAGAGATGCGACATTTTTTTTAAAAATTGGTTGTTTTAGCATATGCTAAATCAAAATGTATCAATAAAACAGAAGCAGAGATCAACGACGCGCGGTATGGATCAAATTTGGTGACCTGTTACAATAACAAAATTGGTTTTTGTATACACCGTTAGTCAGTCATTAACTGGCCGTTGTTGAGAAGTTCTTTTGACAGTTGGGACGAGTCTTAGTGGTCTTTGCCGTTGTGGAGAGGTGGCCGTTGCTCTCCGCGGAGGAGATGGACTGCGAGTAGTCCCTCTTTTCCGCGAGGGAAAAAAAAAATGTCCGCTTGAAATCCAGGGGGCGAGACGCGTGCTTCTCGCCCCCGGGAGTTCGGGCGGCCATTTTTTCTCGCGGTTTTGTCTCTCGTCACGCACGATGGACTAGGCGAAAGAGGGACTACGCGTAGTCTACGAAGTAGATTGCCCTGAAAATTGTTACTGCTTTAGAGGTGGCTTACTACAGTTTTTCAGGGAATAAGTTGCGCGCGCTATGATTGCCTTTCAGACGTTAGTATTAATCGCGCGTGCAAAAATTACGCAAGTAACTCTAAACCCCTTTAGCACTTAAAAGGCGTTAAATTACTTCGGTATACGTAGCAATAGTTTCAAACTCCGTTCAACCATGTGTTTAAGCCTAGGGCCAAAACATATGACAAAAAAAGCTCGATAAAAAAGAGCTCTAATTTACTCTTGCTTTCTCGTTCACGATACATGGCGTCACATGAGCGCCCGCTTTATAAATAAAGGGCGTGCGCAATTCAATTCTCGTCCAAGGCTGTAAAAGCCAGTCTTTGATAGATGATTGCTCGAAAACCTACCGTACAACCCCATGATAAAATTTTCACAGTTGATTTGTAGGGTCGAATCACTTTTAGAGCTAAAGTTTAAAAAAAATCTGTAAGACCGATTTTGAGCTATTTTTGATTTCAAGTTTACTTAGTTTGCGAAAAATCTGTTTTACAGATTTTTATTTTACTTTGCATGAATGTCAAATCAGAGCCAATTTCTTATTCCTAAATTTTGAGGTGGGGTGGTAGATTTTGAGAAAAACGTGATTTAACCTGCTAGTGCCCAGTCTCTCCTTAGGTACTCGCTCGTTCATTTTGGCCATTTGTTGACGTTGAATTGTTCAAGTTTCACATAGAATGGTTAAAGACTTAAGCAAACAGTACATAGAGGAAGGAAAAACATCTTGTAACATTTTTCAAAAGAGTTAGAAGTTGGGCCGTTATAATCCATCAAAACTGTGGTAAGCCACCTTAAGTTGATACATTCTAATTGGCTTATCTCAGATTGCGGGCCGTCGACTTGTTTTAAAAATTCCATTTCTGTGGATTATTCGTTCGCGTTTTAAGTTTTAAGAATAATTTTTTGGAAAATTCAGATAAAGTATATAGTCTTGAAAATGACTGACTGAACTTTTGTTTGGGCCAGAGCAAAGTGATCGTAACAACGAGGTGGCCGTAAGGCGGGTTACAACAAAATTGGATTTGACACAGCACTTTCCTGAATAATGGAAATTACTGGAAACATTACTCCTAATTAGTGAAGTATCGCTGGAATGAATGGCTTAGTATGAAGTTAAAGCGGGAAACACCGACACAACTTTCTGACGCTGATGTACATATTGTTAAGGAACAAAAATTGAATATTTTTCGAGAAAACTGCTCTTGGAAACTCTGGATGGAAAAACTCGGTAAACATTAATTTGCATGTGCTTAGAATAAAATTACCTCAAAGAGAACGTTTTCATTGAGTTTCGTAGTTGGTGTTATTTTAATTGGAATGGTTTTCTATATTTAGGTTTAGTGTAATGGCCAGGAGAAATGCTAAACTGCATTTTTACCTGACCACCTTTCCAAGAATTATTTATTGTTATTGACGGTATGTTCTGTTCTTGATGTAGTTAACAAATCGAATGTGGTGTAGCGTGGTCTGTACTCTTATCGACAACGATACACGTCATCACAGTCCACAACAAATTTTGACCACTGTGATGACGCGTCTCGTTGTCGATAAGAGTACAGGCCACGCTAAACCACATTTCTATTTCTATTACCACAATAGTACCGTCAAAGAAAATGTTTTTTTCAGAGCGCGAGCTGAAAAAGGCATTGCGTGACACATTGACGCGAGCAGCGCTGTCTGGACTCTTATCGACAACGGCAAATTAGCCAATCAGATTGCGAGATTAGTAGTAATTGTGGTAAAAAGTTATATTTTCTTCGATGTAAAAACACAGCAGACCTTACTTTTTTAGTGAAGATTACAGATGGACAATTTAAGCTCATACTAAATATCTCTTAGT